ATCATTTTTGAGTTGATTCCAGCAAATTTTTTTGCCTATGCTGATGTAAATCCTTCTTCAAAGATCTTCTACAGCTGGAATTTACAATTAGCCATGTTAGGTGTTTTACAGTAGGGTCACGCATCAGTGTCCTTCGCTTTTAGAACAACTCCGTAATATTAATGGAGAAGGTATCCGAACTTCTTGTTTGAAGAACTGAGGCGAATTTGGCACAAGTTTTAAGTCCTCCAGCAAGCAGCGTATAGTCTTCGATGGGGTCGTCGTTTATCTGATGGTCATATGAGGAGATGATTTTATTGATAATATCCTGATCGTACACGACGTGTTTCGTTTTTCTTGGACAATGACAAGAGCGGTTTTCCAGCTTACGGCTGAATCGAATCTTCACACAGAGAAGGCAGGTGATGATTAGGTCCTTTAGAGAATAAATACCACTAGGATGTCAAAGGCACCATTTTCTATTCGTGAGAACACGATCGGATCTCCGCGTGAGCCGTGCCGTTAGGAGACTCGCATGTCCATCGGTGATTTTCACTTTTATCGAAAAGTGAATTCGCATGGAAGAGATGTGCTGTGGAACGGTAACCCTTGGGAGGCTAATTATTAATTTGTGCAAAAAATTAAAAAAATTATTTGTTTATTAGCAACTATATAACTGTTTCGTGTTAACTTCATTGATATTCTTCCTAAACATTATGATTCGTAATTATTACTTCGATTTGGGTGTCAATTGTCCAGGTTTTTCTTTTGTCGTTTTCCACTAAAAGATTATGAAGTATGGAAAAGTGCATAAAATTAACTTACCATGTGGTTTTACTTACAACTTTGAATTTTATAACGGTTGTAGAAACGTCCCGAAAAAATATGATTGGCAAAGAGTAGCAAACACAGTTTATTTCTTCAATTTATCTGTTAAATTACTGTTGTTATTATCACTGCTATCAGTTATTAGTGTTTATTATCAAAGAATAAAGGATAAAGCTCTCGGCGTTGATCAATCCTTTAGGGATACACCATGCATTGGACTTCATTAAGCATCGTCACAGGTGATTGAATGAATAATATGGCCTTTACAATGACTCTCGGTGGCCGTCGATATCGAGTCTGCTCTCCCTCCTGGGAAATATGGTACCAATTTGCCGACCCCGGAGGGATGGAAGGCTTGGTGAGCCATGGGCGCGGGTATCGATTCCACGCCTATGTCTCAGTGGCGCCTGCAACCATTGCGCCACACTCGCCCCTATTATATATTATATTATTTGTTATTATCATTATTAATTGTTATTTTTTTGATTTTATTTTATATGATCCTTCGTCGAATATACTGTATGCATTCCAGCACTGCTCATATTCAGTTCGTTTTCTCGATTCTATTTTCTACGGAGCACTTCCAACTTTTACGCATGGCTTCGGTTGCTGCTTGAGGATTTTCATTTCAGCTTGAATGTCGTAGAATGCTGGTCGAGCAATTCTTCCTAGAGTCCTGAGATAGCCTGGCTGGAGCGTACCCAGTTGGATTGTAGAGAGTGATTTTTTCCCAGACAAGTCGGGTACCATTTTCCCGACCCCGGAGGATTGTTGTTATTCATTATTACTTACTTGGATACTTGGATACTTGTATACTTGATATACTTGTCCTTATATAGGACGAGTCCTTTCCTTGGTCGACGAGCGCTTATAGGATTGCATTCGTTTCGACATGGTCAAAAGCTTTCTCATGGTCGAAAAAGGTTAGGACTAGAGGCAAGTGGTATTCCCGACAAACCCCGATGACCCTGGACCCGGATTGGATGTGGTCCATGCAGCAAAATCCTTTTCGAAATCCTGCTTGCTCGACTGGTTGCGCCTCATCCAATGTCCTTGATATGCGCGAGAGGATAATTAATCAATTAAGTAGTAGTTAGTTATTAATTATTATTCTTATTAATTATTAATTACTACTATTACGCTTTCCTTCACAGCACATGGGAACGCTTTAGCTCGGATATCTTCATGACTGCACGAAGAAATGATTCGACCAGCATTTTACGACATTCGTAAAAAAGCCTCATCCTCATAATCCTCAGGCAGCAGCCAAAACAACAAGCGAGATCTTTGTGGATGATAAATGCCAGGAAAATGAATCGAATGCAAGAAATGTTTGGACGTCCACAGTAGTTGTGATGATGGGTCGTTAAAGAAATTTATTGGAATTATTATGATTACTATTACTTTTTCATGGCCATCACGTGTGTCACAGCCGGTTGAGTCACTGCCCCCTGCAATACGCAGATTGCCGCGCAAGGGCGTTCGACATGAATTGAAGGGAGTAATTCTGTCCTAATCGGGTGCTTATCAAGTCCTGTACTAATTTCGCGACCCTGGAGGAAGAAGAGGCTTGATGGACGGGGTTCAGAGTCAGACCAATGCCTGGGTAGGTTGGGGCGTCAGCATGGTGAACGTGATTGCTAAGAAGATGTAATCTGCTGAATTTATGTAAAATTACTCTCGCAACGAATACTTCTATCAAATATACTTGAACAATTGATTTATATCTTACTGTCCTTTTCAAGCTAATACGAAGTTGTTATCATTTCCAAAATACAATGGTGGATGTTTCGGCCATTTCACCTTCTTCAGAGCCTAACCGTACTATGCACCCATATTTTACTACTCTGTTCATATTCCCTAATTCTAATAAATACCTAATTTATGAACCAAGCCGAAAATCTGCCCTATGAAAAGAGCTCAATATTTTCTTCTCAAAAAAGATACGCTCACGTGAATGTGCTTCACACACGATGAAGCAGTGAACCCTATGTATGCAGTCACGTCTAGGTGCTCACATAGGCGAGATCGTATCTCATCGAATTTCAAGAGGAAGTGATAGCAACCTCGAGTTAACAAGGACACTTCTTAAAATGTAAATTGGTTGCTAATACCGAAGTTTAATGAAAATTGGTTTTCACAGTATTTGAACATTTGTTAAAATTTATTCGTTTATAAGCTACACTAACTACTAAAGATTTGTACAGACTGGAGCCAGCATCTAACTTTGCTTCTATAGTCTAGCAGTGTTAGCGAATCAGAATCCGTCGTGATCTGGGAATTTTGTGATTCCTTGATACCGTTAAGATCAGTATCTATCTCAATATCATTGGATCTACGCATCCGTTCAGTTCGCCGTCTCGCATCGATCGCTGAAGACTAATTGACCGCATTTCTTAAAATTCAAAAGCTATTTCTCTTGCGTTATTCATATAAAACATAGGGTAATAAAAAAATGAAAGGTTTTAGTTACGGTTCAGCAGGGTCTGCTAAGATTAAATAGAGGTGTTATTTATTCCGAACTTTAACATATTCTATAAAATCTGACAGTTCGTTTGAAACATAGCCATCGTCAAGTATTTCTATCCACAACAGAAGAGAACAGCGTTATTTTTGCATGGCTTCTCTTCCATTACAGTACTCCTTGATGTATGACGTCATATATTTTTCAGCAAACCACACTGATTTTTTCGCATTAGTATCGATGATTTTCATACAATACGTCATATTATACGAGCATATCAGAAAATTTCTGTTACCCCTATCGTTCGTCCTATTCATTCTTGTCCGGGCCGAGCTACCAGAAACTCGTCCACGTACACTATTTACGTTACTCGAGCGAGATTTGGAGAGTTTGAATTGTCTTTTCTTTCGATGTAACTGCTCGGATTCCTTGTGGACTGACCAACTTTTCTGCAAAGTAAGTATTTTCGTTGAATTGATATGAGCACACATATTATCACATCCGATCAATATTCATCATTTGCGTTGTTGCGTTGACCTCGTAAGCAGCTCTTCATAGATTGTCATAGATTGTTCCTTCTACTTGAGTTAAAACCTACCCTTACAGTGAAATTCTACTTTTTTATCTAAAGATCTAGGCAGGCGTAAACCCACTTTATAGCAAAGCCAAGCGACCTACTCCTGTCTGTCAACCTACGTTTGATGATGACCTTTATGTCTCTCGACCTAGTTAGCACACTTAATATTTCTTCTGGGTGATGGAGACAAAAGAAGTTTATTGATTTCCGATCAGGCTATTTGATGGTTAGAGGGGTCAAAGCTGGTGCGGATGACAAAGATCTTTGAGGACATGTCGGAATCTTGCAGAAGTATATAGTTTTACAAGCTAAACTCCTTCCGCTTTCGCTTTTCTTTCCGTTTTCCCGAATAACAAAATGCACAAAATAACAGGGTAAGTCCGATTCGCAAGATAAAAATCGTGGCCTTTTTATCGGAAGGGAGGCAAGAGGTGAGTGTAGAGGGGACTAAAGACTCTAAGATAAAACTTTCGTCAGCAACAGTCTATGTGAGACAATATCACATTCTTAACTCTTTTATTTACTGCCTTTTTTTTTCTTCTTAATGGCAGGGTATGTTGTGAAATATAACTCGTACGAAGTGCTGAGATATTTGCAAAACTCCGGACCACAGGTGTATGCAGTGGGGAACGAACACGCGCTGTTGTCCTTACCGGGGAGCAGCGCACTTCACCACTACACCATCCGGGTCTGATCCGTACAATATCACAATGTTTAACTTCTTACTTATTGCTCATTATATTTTCGTGTCAGGGTAAAACGATGAAGGATAAAGCTCTTAGCGTTAATCAATCGCTGAGGAATGCGCCATGCATTCGACTGCATTAAGCACCGTCGTGGATGTTTGAATGCGTATCTGGCCTTTACAATGACTCGCGGTGGCCTACAGATGTATTGAACCAGTGCTGCTATCCTCGCAGACAAGTCTGGCACGAATTTGTCGGCTTCGGAGGGATGGAAAGCTTGATGGGCCATGGGCACAAGGACCGATTCCACGTGTGTTGCAAGTCGCCTCCGACCACTGCGCTACACGCGCTCTTTTGTCAGGGTACTATGTGAAAAACAGTCACCAATGATGCTGAGATATTTGCAAAACTCGGACCAGTTTTTTCTATTTGCAAATATGAATCAATACTTCAGATAATATCAAGGATGTCTTTGGCGCCGAAACTCAACAAGGTATCTCTGGAAATCTACATGGAATCAAAATGTCCGGACACATCTCGGTAGGCGTTCATCGATTTTTTTATTGGCTGCTTTTGCTTAACAAGTCACAAATTCATCTCATGGAAAGAGGTGTGAATACATCTTTAGTTTCGTTATTGGTTATAGGTAGGAATCATATTCGTTATAACGTTCTCAGAGTGATTTACCATACAAAACCATTGTTTTCGGAATCAGAATCATTGTACTTGACGTAACCCCGAATTACTTTAACTATCCTTCAGTAAGTTCTATTGATCAGTGCCATTAGCAATCACCCGTCAGCAATTACGGGAGTGATCTGGGGAGCACAAATCGGCAAATGAACTCAGTTAAGCTGAGGCTATAGTCTAAATCATAATGTTAACTTTTTAATAGTACCCAGGATCGACTTTCTATTTACCTCGGCATTGGATTACAAGGTCTACGGCTTCTCAGAATAACCCACCGCTTTTTTCACCTGTCTTCCAACGAGGAATCGGTGCGAAGGTACGGAGCGAGATCACGCGTGATCTCGGGGCATTCTTCCCTACTATTCAGCTTAGGGTTTTTCGCATTTATCCAAAAAGTTTCGAGGAGTTTGCGCGTTGGTGTTTTAGGATCTAGTGCGAGAATAGTGACTTTTCCTCCCACCCTTCACACACAAAGAGGGCGCTTGTGAGAAACATGTTTCGAACAGCCACTTCTGTGTGCACAAGTAGGGAACTAAAGGAAGAATCGCGCAACTTGGCTCGGCAAATAGCCATCTCCAATGGCTACGAAATTATAACCCCAGGAGATAAGTTTCGAAGGAAAGCGACGCTCCAAAACGAACGGTTTGGCCGAAACAAAGTCCTGTTTATCTTGTCCTTCATTGGCGATGAAGTAAGCGTAGCTATAAAGCGATGCTTAAGAAGGACAAATCTAGAGGAATCGGTAGCGATAGTTGAAATACCACTGGCTACTCACGTCGTCAATAGTTCGTAACCGCCTGTATGACCGTCTATCTGAAACAACAAATTGCGTAATTTGCCCTTACGGCAGGGACGGTGACTGCATGAGTTCAGGTACGATATACCTGATCCCTTGTAATAATTGAGGAGACGAATATATTGGCGGAACGGGCAGACCTTTATGTATCCGCATAAAAGAACACCTAGGTGGTAAACGAAAAGCAAAACAAGGCACGCCACTAGGCACGCATAGGATACAAAAGCACAGCGGAGACGATTTTGATATTAAAGTCGCTATCCTGGCACGGGATCCTAAAACACCAACGCGCAAACTCCTCGAGGCTTTTTGGATAAATGCCGAAAATCCCACAATGAATAGCAGGGAGGAATGCCCCGAGATCACGCGTCATCTCACCCCTTACCTTCGTATCGATCGTTGATGGGGCTGGTGCAGTCGTCAACCATATGCGACTCTGAGCGGCTGTTCTTCCTCGGTGGAAGACAGGTGAAAAAAGCGGTCTGTTTTTTCGAAAAGCCGTAGAGCTTGTAATTATCGTGCAATCTGTTTGTGCTGTTGAAACGTTTGACCTGGTGAGTTGCGTATTAGTGTACCCTTCCAGGCTCTGAAGAAGGCGATTCTGCCGAAACGTCAGCTACGATTGTGTTGTATGTTGTTATTGTATGGAAGTAAACGTATGCTGGTTAATTTTTTAATTTACTGCCTATTACAATTCTCCACGGTAGGGTATTATGTGTGGCTCAACCACTATTTGCAAAACTCCGGACCGCAGCTGTCTGAGTTCGGGAACGAACGCACTCTTACCCTTTCTGGAGGCTAACGCGTTCACCACCCCACCATACGGGTTGTATCCTTCAGTAGAAATTGCATTCCATTCATCGCAATTTTCGTTTCATGTATTTCTGAAGAACTTAATGCGATGCAATCATTCAGTTGCACATGGTGTTGTTATTCCCTGACCATATAGCACAGTACAGTAAATTCACTACACATGCGATCATACTTCGAAACGAAACCTCATAGGTGGAACACTAAAGTCATTCATGACATCATTTCACTTTTTTCCTTCCTCACTTCAAGTGTTATTCGTTATTGCTTCGGATACTCGTCAACCGTGGTGAATTTTTAGCTACTCGTTTTTTTAAATCTAAACTGGATGATGATGGAGAGTGGATAAAGTATTTCACTTTTTTTTAAAATTTTTATTCGCCTTTTTCACTTATGACTTTTCATTTCATTTCAGATTTCTGCACAAACAGCTTATGAAAACATGGTCAATGCTGTCGAATACGGGTCGCATAGAACTCACAATGATTCCTTTCGGAAAAGCTCGGTGTGTGGCGACGACTGGAGACGATTACGAGTAGGCGATCAATAATCGATTACTTCACACTCCAATAAACAGAATGCGATCTTTATGAATATGAATGTATCTGTGGGAGCAAAGATCTAATACTAATTATAGTCTTAACCTTTTTATTTACTGCCTATTCTTTTTAACGGCAGGATATGTTGCGAAATGTAATTTCAATAATGCTGAGATATTTGCAAAACTCCGGACCGCAGGTGTCTGCGGTGGGGAACGAACGTTACTGCTTATTACAATTCTCCACGGTAGGTTTCGTTTCGAAGTATGATCGCATGTGTAGTCTATTGTCCTTTCCGGGGAGTAACGCGTTCACCACCACACCATGCGCGTCCTTCGTTTCGCCTGTCTCTCAGCTAGTTCTATCGATGCTAATTGTAGTAATTAAAGTAATGACTAAGAAATCGGTGAAATTATATGATAAATTGACTTACATTGAATTAACTTTTAAAAAATATGTAAACACAATCTTAACTCTTTTATTTACTGCCTTTTTCTTCTTAATGGCAGGGTATGTTGTGAAATATAACTCGTATGAAGTGCTGAGATACCTGCAAAACTCCGGACCACAGGTGTATGCAGTGGAGAACGAACACGCGCTGTTGTCCTTACCGGGGAGCAGCGCACTTCACCACTACACCATCCGGGTCAAAATATGTAAACAGAATTGGAGATAAACTAACTAAATTAGTTAAATAAATTGAAAACTACCAATTGCTTCCTCGGAACGACCATCCACGAAGGTCTTCGAACTTTTCGCGTGCGGGTTCGGATGTTGCTTAAGACTTTTTCCTTTCGTCATGAATGCCGTTGAATGCTGGTTGAGTCGATTCTCCCTGGACTTGTAAGATTGCTTCGGTAGAGCGTTCCCAATTGGATTGCAAAGAGTGAACTTTTGCGAGACAAGCCCGGTACCAATTTTCGGACTCCGAAGGAACGAGGGGCTTGGTTGGTCCGGTGCGGAGTCGAACTAGCACCATGCTCGATGGCGGACATCACTACCATTGCGCTATCTGCCCTCATAATTTCATAATTATGTTTCAAAAACCGACTTTTTTTCTTCGCTCCTGGTCAGTGTGTATGTACTCTTTCATTGATAAGCTAAGACGAGGTTAATAAACAATTCTTCGCTATCTAATAATGGTACCGACTTCCGCAGGATGGATATTATCCGGCAAAAACAACTTATTATCATGGGGCAATTACTATTATCAACAACAACTGTGCTGTATAAAAGACTATCGCGGGGTGAGTATGCCTCATTCGAGCAATGTTCCACTGAAGAAGATACGACTCAATGCAGAGACAAAAACATCGCATCGGAAGTACGAAAGCCTGTGGACATACCCTTGGATCGTCGGCACTGTGGAAGACGAATTGTCGAAGCGTTGACCGAATAAAATTTTTCATTGACCTGGTGTTAGGTTGCCAATGAAATAGTAAGTGTACAATTATAGTAACGAATATGAGCCATCTACGGACCACACAGATTTCAGTAAATGCTATGTTTCGCAAATTTATCTCCATATAAGTTGATTTGATGCAGAATATGGAAAAATAGGCTTTTTCAGATGCACTTGTCAACATGGTGAAAGCGAATGTTTATTGAATCAGTTGATGAACTGTGTTCTCGAACGGATCGGTGTTCCGGACAGGACCGTCCCAATTATCGATTGCATCCAAGGGCGAAATGATCTCGACGATGCAATGAAGTCATGTGTCACTAATAACGCGCTCTTAGACGAACAGTGGTAGGTTACTGATGGAAAATGAAATACACGTGGCTGTAGGTAAGCGTTGGAATCAGTTCAATTACGGGTTTATACTCTGTTCCAGTGTATACTTTGTCCTTAGTTCAATTCTACGCCCCGGCCTCACCATGCCTTCCATCCTTTCGAATTCATCGAACTCGTACCAGGCTTGTTTGAGAGGGTAGCACTACTGATTTGACACGTTGGTAATCCACCAGAAGTTATTGTATAGGCCAGATATAGATTCAACAGCTTCTGTCGATGCTTGATGAAATCGAATGTATGGCGCCTCCCTTAGAGATTGATCAAAACGACCGCTTTATTTTTAACCTTTTATCTGTTTCTGATTTCAATATATTAGTATCGCAGGCCTATTGCATTCACTCAACATCTAGATGTGGTTCCCATTTCTTAAGATCGTTGATAAAAACAGCGGTAAAATAAAGAAGAAGGATAAAGCTCTTGGCGTTGATCAATCCTTGAGGGATGCACCATACATTCGACTTCATTAAGCACCGTTGGAGGTGATTGAATGCGTACCTGGCGTTTACAATGACTCATGGTGGCATACCCATGTATTGAGCCAGTGCTGCTATCCTCCCAGACAAGTCTGGTACCAGTTTTCCGACCCCGGAGAGATGGAAGGCTTGGTGGACTTTTGGCAGGGGGATCGATCCCATGTGTATCGTAGGGCACCTTCGACCACTACTTCATATGCGTAAAATTAGCGGTACACAAGAATTAAAACGAATGGTTTCGCGCAGGAGACGACTTTGCTTTCGTGCGCCTAATCAATACTCATCCAACGCCCAGCTTCGCCACAGTAGCCGCACAGTTTTCGCGCGATGCCGCTAAATCATTGATGGCGTTTGTAGCTACTTTGACACAACAGGATAGTTTATTCTTTATTTGACTTCTTAATCTACACGTCATCACATAAAGTGCAAACTAGTCGGCTCATTGATTTTTATTCGTCGTCTGCGAAGATCTTCGCGTTGGTTCAGCTGTTAGCTGGGAGTTTTGCCTTCTTGAATGCGTTGGATGTTGGTCGAATTAATTCTCTTTAGAATTCTCAGATAACTCTGCTAGAACATAGTCAGGCGTTCACCATAGGATGTCCCCTGTTTTCAGGATGGGAGAGAGCCTCTCCAAGAGAGCCTCTCCATGACATGTCTGGTACAAGTTTTCGGACCACGGACGGATGTGTAAACATTTGGTTGCCCAGAGCGCAATGTAATCGTTGGGTGTAATGCATGTTCCACTGCATCCTTAATCAAAGTGCTTGGCGAACCCTTGAGTAATAGTCGTAAAGTATTTCTCGTGGAGTAAAAATACTTGGGAAAAGTAGTAATAAGGAAAGGGAAATAAGAAGGTAGTCATAGTAATAGTAATAACGCCCTTCGTAGGGTAATAATGTTCGAAGAAAAAAGCTTGTTTGGTTTTTGATGTATCTAGTAGAGTGATATCTATTTAGAGTTTTGCGATGAACCTCACTTCAGGATGAAAGAATGTGCAACTGGCCTAATTGGACGACGTCTTTTGGCGACGGCCGGTTTGCGGACGGCTTCACTTAATCCACCACTCGATTTTGTTCCATGGATTATGATTGACGGCGAGCGGAACTCTGACGCTTACTATGACTTAACGGAAAATCTCTGCAAAAAACTTAAACCCGCTCCCGATGAATGTGTGGTGTATATGCAAAATTCCAAAGCACGCTAAGTTCTTTCCGTCATTCGTCGAATAAGATCTAGGTCTGGGTTTTGTGATTGCGTCGACCAAGATGAGCACGTCTTTACTTTACTGCTGTAGATCCGTATTTTATACTATTTCTTGTGACTAGATCTAGTTCTCGAGCCTAAACTCACTTTCGGTACTCTGTTAAAAACTAAGAAAAACATGTCTTTAACAAAATTCTTTATTTGAGCAACTGCTGCGTTCTCTTTATGGATCTTAACGAAGGCTTTGGGATTGAATCCATCGAAGAATTTTTTCTGAATTTCATTCAGTAAATTTCTCATGTCCACTAAGGAGATCGCATCGATATTGCTCAGGACATTTTCTATCTCATGTTGCTCCAGAGTCGCATGATCCGGTTCCTCATAGGGACTTTTAAGTTCTAGTGGGTTCGGTATTCAGTTTTATTTCCGTGTTGCATTACTCGGTTTTGGCCACGTCTTGTGGGTAATTAAAACCCCACAAATCTTGGCTAAAACCGAATACTGCAATACGAACATAAAATTGAATGGCGAACCCACTAGAACTTAAGTCCCAATGAGGAACCCGATCATGCCACTCTGGAGCAACATGAGATAGAAAATGTACTGAGCAATATCGATGCAATCTCCCTAGTGGACATGAGAAATTTATTGAATGACATTGAGAAAAACTTCTCCTTTGATGGATTCAATCACAAGGCCATCTTTAAGATCCTTAAAGAGAAGGCAGCAGCTGCTCAAATATAGGATTTCGTTAAATGCATGACTCTTCTCATTTTCATCTTTCCTCATCGAGGAAGTGATATTGAAAAGATCCTGACAGAAACTGCTCCAACTAAGCAAAACAGTTGTGTAGAACCAATGGGTATTGATTGACCGAAGACAGGACATTGGGGCGATCTCTGTAGCCAATCAGTACGTATCATCTTCATTTAGTGACTTTCGCAGAAATTTGCACTCATTTCATTAGAATTTTAAGTAATTAAATTGCTTTTTATCGTTGTTTTGTTTATCATTCACGGGTTCACTGCCAAATATGGTGTTTGTGATGTTTGACTAGCTCCCACTTTTTTTTTGACGATCTTCAACAACAACATTCTTGTGTGTCCCACCACGATTAGCTAATTGTTCAGTCAATACTGTTGATTTGATTGTTGATGGTTATGTCAGTAATCGTACAACACTAGCACTCTGCTAAAAATTAAGCAGGCGGTACGATAGGGGTAGATTTTTTTCTTGGGCTCAGAATGGTGGTTGTAGTTGTTTTTTCTTTGCTGGAGGACATTTTTAAATATTACTACTAATAATCAAGATAACAATGGGCATTCAGTGTTATTGGTTTTATGTACGTTTTCTTCTGACAATGTTGTATTTATTTAAACCGGACTAAGTGCCTTTATGCATTGGTTTTTGTTTTGTTGGTGATGTTTTTTTGGCCACTAAATAAATAAGTTTACTCGGCACTTTATTCGGCAACTCGAAAGACCGACTTTCTATGAACCTCGGCATAGATAGTTGATATATTTATTTATGTGATCTTATAAACTGATCTTCTTAAGCTGACGCGAGGTTGGTACAGATCTTGTCGTTGTCGTTGTTTTTGATGTTATTGAACGATGGCTGACGTTTCGGCGACTTCGAGTCCCACACGTAACATCACGGCTCTGAGGAAGGCGAAGTCGCCGAAACGTCAGTCATCGTTCAATAACATCAAAAACAACGACAACGACAACGAAGATCTGTACCAACCTCGCGTCAGCTTAAGAAGATCAGTTTATAAGATCACATAAATAAATATACTTTATTCGGTAGTTTATTCGGTACTCAGCTGTTTATCAACCTCGTGTAAGCTTTTTATTCGGTACGTCGTTATCATACGGATTTCCACACTAGTCATTTAAAGCCGGATTTCTACAACGAGAACAAATCCTTGAACAACACCAACTCTTCGGAACCTACATGGAGGCATACTACTTTTATATACTGTAGTGGATAAGGGCTGGCCACAGTGCAGACATGGTCTTTAGTTCTATCCTGCTCCCAAGAAAACCGATCCCTACATCTTTGCTGGGTCGGCAAACTGTCATCGTTTGGGAGGATAGAAATGCTTATTTAATCCATCGATAGATCAACGCAATTCATTTGTGTAAGACAAATATGCATTTAATCAGTCCTACAGTGGTACGAATAGAGTTAAATACATTACGCATCCCGTAGTGTTGCCTATCACGGTTAAAAATCTCTTCCTTTATTAGATAGCTTTATTCGACGAAGTGAAGTGCGTAACCTTAACGGAAACTCAATGCGCCAACATCGAATGTGGAAGAGGGACGCTCGCTGTTTCCTCTTAACCACTTTTAATGGGTTTTATTCATATTAGTTTTACATGTAGCGTAATAACTGCAGTAGAGATGCTGTGCAGTACATGCATGGTCTCTAACTCGATCCATTATTGGGCCAACTAGGTCATCCTTGACCCGGGATCAACGAAACAGTACCAATTCTTTCGAAACCGACCTTCCCTAAACCTCGGTGTGACAAATCAATATGTATTATTTCTTGATAAGCTTGCACGAGGTTGATAAATATATTTATTTTCGGCTAACGTTTCGACGTCTTCGTCTTCCTCAGAGCCGGTGATCCGAGTCGATGGTCCATGCTTGTTGTTCGCCTCGACGTTGCGTCTTCGCCTTCCTGTCGAGCCAGATCTTCCTCAGCGAGCCATCTTCTCGAATGAGGCATCCTCACTCAGTGATGCCCTTTTATACACGATGCTGATGGTAGATATATAATGACAATGTCCGGTGGTAACAACTTGTATTTCTTCCGGACATACATCATTGCGCACATCGTGCAGAGGTCGGTGTGTAGTACCAATTCTGTCTCAGGAAAGCTTTTTCCGATCCAAAAAGTTATAGCCTATCTGTGTTAAAAGCTTGTATACACTGTAGCAAAGCTAACTCGAAACTCCAAAGAGGATGAACTCGACGAGGATTCAATGGCGTTCACAATGGAATCCAAATATCCTCATTTATCGAGCGAAATCAAACGTAATTCCGACGACTCGTCTATGACAAATGCAAAACATCGAACCAGAAGAAGAAAGAAGTGCTAGAATCAGCATGAAATATATGGAGACGGGTAATAGAAATAAGCAAATAATACAGAACATTTTTTACGCAACGTTTTCCAGTGCCTGCGTTGCCCAAATGTTAAGGGTGCCCTGCAGTAAAGACGTGGCCGTCGGTTAGGTCCGTGACCAGGTATCACCAAGCATTCCATCCCTACATAGTCAGCAAATTGGTACCAGTCTTGTCTGGGAGGATGGTAGCACTGCTTAATACTTCGGTGGGTCATTGCGATTAATTGAATGAGCCAGATATGCATTCATTCACTTCTAACGATGTTACGATTGAAGTATATCACATCTCTAAGCTTTTGACCAACACGGAACGCTTTGTACTCGAAAACTTCTATGTGGTTCATTCTATTTTCGCATTTTACTGAACTACCAACCTACTACAGTGATTCCTACAACGAGCGCGTGGTGATCATCGAATGAGCAACCTAGTGGACGCTGTGGCCACCACGGCCTTGCGATTGCGGGTCAGACATTTTGGCCTGTAGAATCACGGATTCTCATGGAGATTCCCACACACCAATCATCACACCCGCACGTGGAGCATCTGCAAGCGCCAGACATAAAACATGTGTTTCGTATATGAAACGGTTGCGTTGTTTACGTTTAAAACGAAGGAAATACTCGCGCTTGTGACTAACCTGAAATAGTACTGCGTGAAGCCTTGGTGAGACTGGAGAAGGAGACACCATAGATAGGATATATGGGACTAGTTGAGCGAGTCTAATTAGAATGCAAACGTCCGAAGAAACTCTTTGGTCTGTATCACCCGCATCACATATTGTCGCGTTATTTATTGAATGACTTATCTGGGAGCTAGTAAAACCTGTATATTTCCTCCGTTTCACCCACGAGTAACCCAGTGAACTCTGTTTGTTCAAGAAACTTGAACAGTGTTAAAGTTCTCCTCCAGAATCGCAGTGGATAAGCATGACTTTCTAGTTGGTGATCTCACTGCTGTGAGCTTGCCATCCTACAGGACAAACCCACTGATGGATTGTGTTCACTGGTTCACCTGATGTTGAATGTTCATTCCTTCCTGACGCGTACATTAAAACAAGTAGTATGGAAAAGTCGAAAAAGTTAGATATGGAAACAGTTATTCTCTGTTTTCCTCACTAAACTTCTCATTCTTGCAAGTTCTCCAAGTGAGCCGCAGCTTAACTGGGTTCTATGCCGATTTGGGCGCCCCAGATCAATCCCGCTGACGGGTGACTGCTGTGGCAAAGGTCGATAGAAATAGCTGAGAGACAGGCGAAACGAAGGACCCGCATGGTGTGGTGGTGAACGCGTTACTCCCCGGAAAGGACAATAGCGCGTTCGTTCCCCACCATAGACATCGGCGGTCCAGAGTTTTGCAGATAAGATTTTGCTTGTGAAATTGCTATATAGCTCATGAAGAATTTTTATTTATTGACAAATGGACATATCAGTTGCTATGAAATTCTATTGCCAATTCTGCATTAACTGTATCGAGGGCGTTTTTGTAATCAATGGAAATGCTTGTATTTTTGCGACACTTCAGTTAGTTTCGTCATAGAGCGCATATGATATTTCCTGCCTAATCTCTATTAAAGTCTTATTTGAATGATTATCCTTCTTAAATTATACTGTTACACCTGTAAATAACGTAGATAACCCGTAGACAAGTGAACTAATAGTCGAATAAAAGAAGATCGAATGAGAAGTTGCTTACGTAGCGTAGGTTTTCCTTTTCTGCAGGTACATGGTCGTACTGTCTCAACATTCATTGAGGCACTCTGAGGCAACGAGTAAAAAACCGCGTCAAGATGTCAGTGTGGATTGGCTGCAAGTTGTTCAGAAGTTAATAAAAGAAAATTTGAGAACAAAAATAAAACCCTGGCCTGTCAGATGTTGTACGGTTCGTCACCTATGAGATAGCATATCCAAATTAGGAAGGGATAACTATTTGGACAGCATAAAATTTCTCTCTGATATGATACGGAACAGGTGTACACGGCTGTTGCGGGAAAAAAACTGCGCGGAAGCGTCGGTCCAATCCTGTGAAATTTCTCGGACAAAAATGACATCGACAATAGATTTTAGTTACTATGATCCACATTCCATAATAACTCGAAAGACAGACTTTCTATGAACCTCGGCATAGATAGTTGATATACTTATTTATGTGATCTTATAAACTAATCTTCTTAAGCTGACGCGAGTTTGGTACAGATCATCGTTATCGTTGTCGTTGTTTTTTTGATGTTATTGATCGATGGCTGACGTTTCGGTGACTTCGCCTTCCTCAGAACCTGGACGTATTTAATATTAGAATGTTTTTATTATTCGGTGGAAAATTATTATTATTATTAAAACGACAACGACAACGAAGATCTGTACCAACCCCGCGTCAGCTTAAGAAGATCAGTTTATAAGATCACATAGATAAATATGATCCACATTGTTTTCTGTAAAACTTGGTCTGCACAGAACGCTTCGTCTTCGCTTTCGCCATTGCATCAGACTAAACTGTAAGCGAATGTTAAAGAAGACAATGGTCCACATCTTTTCAACTCCATGCTTTCAACTCGGAATGTTTTCCATTCAAAGGAATCGATATGTATGAGCAGGCTTATGTTGACAAGGACATCAACGTTCCCACTGCACTTCTATCGCATATTCCGAGCAAACAGTTCTTCTTCGTTGTCATAAGTAGCTTTAATGGCTGTGCCTGCACGTCTCGGTCAATCTAGTGACTTCCTACTGAGCCTCTTCAGCCATTAAGGCTCCAATGCGCAAAGCGTGTTCTCTAAGCTTGGTCAGTCTAGAAAAAAGTTGTTAGGTAACCCTTCCGTACTCGCCTTACCCAATGTTGAATTGTCGACCTCCTCTAACTTAGGTATTATACTCAAAGTTAGTTTCCCTTTCCTTCCTGGAGTAAACGAGCTTACTAGATCGAGGGGACTAGTAAGCTCATTGCCGTGCACTGCACTCGATTATAGATTTTTCGCCCTACTAACGTACACCGTAGAATTAGAATACAAGTAAGCACATTCTTCCACACAAGAGCTCTTATATACTTCTAATCATATCCAGAACATTTACGGCGACGCGGGACAATTGAAGCAACGAATCTATTTCCTGAATCCTCTGCTTCTCAAAAAAGCGCGATGTCCCGTTTGGTCAACGTTCCAACCCCTATCTGCCAAGTGCAGAAACACCACATAGCGAAAAGAAAAACTGGCTGAGCTATCCTAGGTGGGAAAGATCCGTTGAGAACGACAAAATTCCTGAGGTATGAAAACTAGAACAAAACCCTTTTCCAAACCACCTTTGATTATGGCTCTTTCGACACCCCACTAATAGATAATATCTTTATTATTCTTAGTACTAAAGGTTGTAGAGTAGCCTACGAAACTATCAATAGATCAGCACGTCGCACTTTTCCCCTACTGGCAGTACTCGTTAATCACCAATTTGTATTAAATCCTATGAATAATGTCCACGTCTCTTCAATAACACGTCGGTTACGAGTGTCTTTCGCACACGTCATAAAAAGTATAAAGGACAAAGCTCTCGGCGTTGATCAATCCCTGAGGTATGCGCCATGCATTCAATTTCACTAAGCTTTGTTGGAGGTGATTGAATGCATATCTGGCCTTTACAATGACTCGCTGTGGCCTACCGATGTGTCGACCAGTGCTGCCATTCTCCTAGTCAAATCTGGTACAAATTTGCCGACCCTGGAGGGATGTAAGGCTTGGTGCACCATGGACACGGGGATCGATTCCACGTGTGTTGCAGGGCGCCTCCGACCACTGCGCCACATCTGCCCTGCACACGTCATAAAACGACAGGGATTGCTTCGCATTTTATTGCAAAAGTAGTAGACAAAGAAATATAGGAAAACATGCAAATGTAAAAATCTCAAACAGTGGCAAATATTAAACAGTACTACAGGAAAGCACTAGTTAGTTCGTTAATTCAAATGTATCAAAATTCACGTACAATTGTAATGAAGGAGGTTAGAAGATCACTATAATGTTGATTCCATTACAAAATCTAGCGGTCCGGTCACATTTGACAATGTAGAGCAGCAGTCACCAAGTATTCCTTAGTTCAGATCACGACCCACACAAGTTTCAAGTGACACCAGGGCACTGACGTAAGCGACAAGAAACTATACAGACACAATGCAGCACTCATCATTATGAATACATTGTAGGTGAATTACTTGGTGATGATGGATGATAGGCATCGGTATCACTGTTTATTTGTGGAAAAAAAGACTATTAATGAACGCCAGTAGGCAAGGACTGAATGTGAAGTTATACCATATAGTTAAGCATAACATTTAGAACGAAAAACGATCAGGCGATGACCAGTATGGAAATATTTAGCAATTGCAACCACCGCTTGACGATGACCGATTGTCGTTGAGACGAATCTGATCAGGAAATTCCGGAAAGTCGTGTGTTTCCTGTAACGATGCATGCTGACCGACGAAACCATATTACCGCACACTCAATGAGGATAGTAATATTAAATGATTCAAATTTATGTGCAGTAATTTTGAAACCTTGTAGTAACTGCTAACGATCAGTTAATTTGCCAGTAGTTCTATGTCTCAATAAAACATCAGCTCTAAATTAGATACATCAGTCAAGCGCACTAAAAGATAGCACCTATAACACGGCTGAGAAAAAGACAAAATGAAGGAGTCGCATGATGTAGTGGCGAACGCGTTAGCCCCCAGAAAGGGTAATAGCGTTTTTGATCGCCACCACAGACACCAGCGGTCCGGAGTTTTGCAAATATCTCAGCATCGTTATCGCTATATTGCACTGAAAGAGTTACTGAAGATTAGATGGCAAGTGATAAACCACCAATAAGCAAAGTGTTAAAGAACAACTGATTACTATAGCTTTTAATACTAAGCAGATTACTACTTCTTTCCTATACACATTTCCTTTTTCCTGAAGTGAAAAAGTACCTCTTAGTTATGGAGACTGTTACAGCCAAACATGTTTTTGTAAGATAGACACCCTAATACTGAACAAGGATTGTCAGTAGAACCAGTTCACAGTGAATATGTCCTTCAAATTCTACTCCTTATTGGAACAATTTAAATTTAAACTTAAATCCAGTTCAACGTCTGTATTACTAAAGCAGATCTGAGAGGGAATTTAGACAAATAAAGCCATGGTAATATTTCAAGCGCCGAGCCATAGCGTCTTTGCGAAAAAAAAAACGGATCTACGATTTATAACTTGTAAACGGCGACAAATCGGTAAGCATCATGAACGAAAAGAATAAAGTGTAAATATCCAAACGACAAACCTGAGCCTCTCTTGCAAGTGCGTCACGCGCAATCGCTTGGAATGCAGTTTCTACGTTTAGAGCTTCTTTGGCAGAGACCTAAAAGTCCCACATCTCAACCTTTTATGGAATCTATAGGATAAAAAGTATGAAAAATAAAAAAAAGATAGAAACATAAACTCGATAGTTTCACCTCATAATATGGCATGTTATGTTTCGACTGACACCAGTTCTCTGCACGTTTTTGACTCACAGCTCTTTGTGCGTCCAGATCAACTTTATTGCCGAGCAAAACGAATGGAAAATTCTCTGGATCACGAGGACTGAAAGTGATCGGATCCTATGTCAGTTCTTGAGTAGATTAGGTAATCGTTATTCAGAAGAAGCTCTACATGATACCTCAATATTCTACGTTCACCATATACACGTTTTATTAAAATATGAAGTAGAAGGATATATTTGAAAATCGCGAAGTACTAACCACGCTTGTATAAGAAACTCATCTCGCCAAGAATCGAGACTTTTAAATGATGAAGGATTTGTAACGTCGTACGTCAACACACAACAATCAGCTCCACGATAGAAAGCGACACCCAAGGATTGAAAGCGCTCCTGACCAGCAGTATCCCAGATCTGAATGAAACAAAGTGCTAAGATTAATGCATCTCACAGCAATTCTAGGAATGACAAATGCATCTCACTCAATTCCAGATCACTTAATTTATTTCATAACGACTCACAGTTCTATAAACATTGCCTATAAATCCCAGATTACAGGCTTCGTAGTGTGTTTCCAAGTGCATGAAGGCAGGCAAAAAATCTTCCAAAATCGACTATTTCTTTATCCTAAGGCGAGAATTCGTCAAGAAATGAGGTTTTTTGTCTTTTCTGTACCTGACCTACTTTAACGTTAAATGTCACTGCATTCAAGTACATGCACGCGTAGGTGCACTTGTACGATACGCATCTTACACATCAGTTCACGAGAATGTGTGTGATATGTGATATGTATATGATTATGTGATACGAAAGATTCGACTCACGACCAACAAACACACATATTAACGTTGTGATAGCCTTAGAATACACACTGGTACAAGAATCCACACAGTTTAAATCGGCTACCTATAGTTGGGTCAATGAATCGGACGTTTACGATTAAAAAGAAACGGGTCGATACCGGCTTCGACAATCTTCGTCGCTTACGCGCCGACATCAAACTATGACGAAGAAGAAATCGAAGAGTTCTATGTGGACTTGGAGAAGTTCTACAGAGAAGACCATACATTCTTCAAGGTCATCACTGAAGATTTCAACGCCAAGATTGGACCAAGAAGAGCGTCTGAAGAACGTTACATTGACACCCACTGATCGGAATGGAACGAACAGGGTGAGCTACTGTCTGAGTTTACCATGGTGACCAAGACAATCCATGATAACTCGCAATTCCAGAAACCCCACCCTCAACGCTGGACGTGGGAGTCTCCCAATGGAGGGTATCACAACGAAATAGACCACATCGTAGTAAATAGAAGGTTTTGCCTAACCAATGTCACTGTTGTCCCAAAACTCTACACGGGATCAGACCATTGCCTCCTTTGAACTAGATTTTATTTCTCGCGGAAAGAAGAAAAACCGCTAAATTCAAAAACGAAGTCCCGAAACCCACACCATAAACTGGAGCCTATTCAGTTCACTAGTCGGCTGTTGGGAAGATGCCATTGTCGATAACATCGACAAGGAATACGACCGTCTCATTCAACATTAGCGCTATGAAAGCTGAAAGTTCGAAAGTCACCAAGAGACATCTATCTACAGAAACACCCGAGCTGACACACCAGCGTGGAATTGCACGACCTGCAGGTAACAGCGAAGTAACGTCCGAGAATGCAAAACAATGCAGACGACGATAAAAGAAGACCTTAAGAGAGAAGAGCAGCAGCAATGGTCGAAGCTGCAGAGGCTGGGAAAAGCATTCACAAAGCTGACCGAAGCACCGCGAATTATAAGACCATGATGATTGCACTCCAACGCCCAGACGGAACAGTTACAGCATCCAGAAAGGCAATGAGAAAAATCATTCACAACTGCTAGTCAGATTGGATAAATGTTAACACCGGTTCTCCCTTCCGAAACCAGACACTATTTCTTCGGTGAAAAATCGAACATCAAGTTCGGCCAGGATAAAATCCGAACACATGAAGAACACATGAAATAAAACATAAACACAATGGCTCAGCTCTTTACACGTTATCTGTTTGAATGCAAGGTCCCTTCCCTACTCAATGGAAGACCAGCAAGACCGTGTTATTGTTCAAGAAGGATGACCTACACGATATCGGCGACTATCGCCCAATCTGCTTACTGTCTGTCGTCTACAAACACTTCACTTGAGTCATCCTAAACAGGATTGGCAGAACGCTGGAGGAACGGTAGCCATGTGAGCATCCAGAGTTTCGAAAAGGATTTAGTACGATGGACCACATCCACACGAGAAAACGCCTCATTGAAGTATCGCGAGAATATAAAACACCGCTCTGTCTCACTTTCATCGATCTAAAGAAGGTCTTTAACTCAACTGAGAGAGAAGCAATCATAAAGTCCTTGGTAGTTAGGGAGTACCTACTCAGTATGTAAAGATTCTTCATGTGCTGTACAAAAATTTCACAACTACGATATCACCATTCTACAACGACATCATCATCGACGTCAAAAGAGGATTTAGCCTAAGTGAGATACCCTGGCACCAAAATTATTTACCGCCACCCTCCAGAACGTCATGCGGACACTGGAATGGGATAATATGAAAGTGAAAGTCGATGGTCGGCAGTTACATCATCATCGCTTTGCTGATAACATCGTCCTTATAACACCAACCATTAGCCAAGCGGAACGTATGCTTGCCGACTTTGATAAAGCCTCTGGAAAGATTGAAAGATCGACTAAATCTCACAAAAACGATGTTCATGAAGAACGGATTGGTTTTTTATGCCCCATTCACGCTCAAGGGAACGAATACCTACAAATGCTGCAGAGTTAAGCAAAGGAAACGATCGACTTGGGGAGCTTCCAAGAGCATTGGGGATGTGGTGAAGAGAACAAAGAACACCCGACTCCGTGCCCCACCATTTCGACTCAACGGTAGTTCCTGCCTTAACACATGCGTCAGAAACCCAGTCGCTGAGTAAGCAGGATTAAAGATTAGTCAGCGTTATCGAACGTGATGTCGAAGGGATGATGCTAGGAGTATCCGTTTCGCACAAGTAAAAGAAGGAATCCAGGGCTCCGATCTGCGTCAACGATCAAAAATCAAAGATGCCGCTCTCTACGCCAAACAGTCGAAGATAAAGTGAGCTCGACACGTAATGCGCACGATGACAACCGATGGACAAAAGCCGTTTGTGACCGGATTCTCTGGATGTCAAACGAAGTGCACGAGTGCCACCGACCTGGTGGTTAGAGTTGTTAATGAAGTCCTTAGAAGAAGGACATGATGCTCAACGAGCTAGAACGAGGAGAACCCACTGGGCTACTCTTGCACTTGATAGGGAAAAGTGGAGATTTATTGGTGCGCGCTCGAGTCACTCGACGAACAACAGGACTACAGATGACACGTGACCCGCAACAAACTATGGCTACCTCTGGCTAAATTCTCTCCAAAAACGTTGAAAATGATAACATCGTAGAAAAAGTATGCACAGAACAATGATTCCAGGTTACGTTTTGTTTATTTCTCATCTTTCTGTAACTCACTTTCGTTTAATTCTGCCTTCAAAACCACTCGCATTTTGAAAAACAAATTAACGGCCTTCCTATGATTGAATTGTTATAAATATAAATGAATTGTTAAACAAACCATCTTTAGTAATCTGAAAAGATGGTTTCCAGAAATCCAACTGCATTCACTTTCAATGTAAATTCAGAACAAATTTGAAAACCGAACTTGCGAGTATACTCAAATGGTAATCTACAACAGGATAATCTTCTGATAAAGTCCGGCTATCATTTCTACTGATAACCATCAACGCAGAGGTACATTCTCATTTTCGTTTGAAATTTTATAGGATTTGGCCAACTACATCATCTTCGAGAGGTCTGTCAACCACTCGTTAAGCTTGTTACCTACACAACAGTCACTGCCTTCCTGGAAGAATCCTAATCGCAACATAGCAAAACTTTACACGCAACATTTTATACCGACGACTTGACAACGCCCCAGGAGACTATCTAGGAATTCCGGGGACAAATACATTCGAGTAGCATTCAGTGTATTAATGATAGAAGTTCGCATAAGATCTCAACTAGTTTAGTGGGTGACGAACGCAAGACAAGAAAAAGAATAGACGTGCTGCAAGACGTGTTAGGACGAGTTATTTAAGTATCTAGAGCAAATCTGTCTAAAATTCAAGTTCTAAGCAAAAAACGATAACGAGCGAAAGCACTTGAAAGTTCTGAAAAGCACTCGTGGGACTCGCATCCACAAGCGATAAGTCAAACGTATGTCTTTTAAATGAGTTATAACGCAAAGATGGCTAACAGTCGCAAAAGTATGGTAAAATGTAAAACGGCTAAATGTCGTGAATGTGCTAAACTATTACTGAACAGCGCTATCAGAAAAAAAACAGTGAGGACAAATAGAAGTAAAAAATTTGACGTAACACACCTGTAGTGTTACTGTACGATCGTCGATTTGCACATCTCTAGTGAGAAAGTCGGCACCTATCGTAGCCTGTAACGGTTTATATCTCTTTAATTATAGTAAAAGAAACAATAACGAAACGCCATGTAACTCTTCGATTTACTGGAGACAATTTCGGCGAACAAATAAAATATTAAACAATAAATATTTCGAACATTTCTTTGATGGGCAGACTATATTTCTAGAGATTGTGTAAATAGAAATCCGCTGGGTTTGAAATCCTTAACAATTAACAACTCAAATTTTATATATCGACTGTCATCGAATCGATTAGAGAAGTGAAGAACTTCAAAAAAGCCAACACGTTACCTTATACTGGTTACTAAACCTGCGATTCACATATTGATTCATCAGCGACGTTTTGCCAACACCCGAATCACCAAGGATGATAACCTTGAGAAGTGCCTTCTTTCTTCCCGACATCTTAATTTAAACTGAAAATCAGACACGAAAAATCAGATTCACTTTTTTTGGATCCATACTGTAAACAACGTGAATAGACGAACGAACATACAGGCGACGATTATGAGGAAAGCGAACATAACAGCATGAAACCGTTCGAACAGATACTTCTTTCTTTTTAAATTAAAACGAAAAAAAGCGACATAAACAAATCCGCAACATGAAAACAGGAAATCTACTAGTCCATCAATACGAATAGCAGTAGTCACGCCATGAATACCGAACACGTGTTGTACTATAGCACGTGACACTTCGATTTAAATTTCACCCTCTTTCTATGAAACTGTGAAATGCACGAAACTTCCTGGATGGAGGAACTTTTATAGAAAAGTAGATTAACGAAAATACATTCTGTAAAGAAATATCGCTAAAAATCTCGTAAAACGAGGGGGAATAGGCTGTGAATTCATTGATATGTTTTACTAATTTAACAATGCATAACGTTAGGGCTAACGAACAATAAAAAACAGTATGCCCTTCCAGGCTCTGAAGAAGGCGATACTGCCGAAACGTCAGCTAGTGTTTATTGTATTGTGTTTCTCTATGGAAGTAAATGTATGCTGTTTAAAAACCTCGCGATTGCTGAACAAGAAAACGACGCATTCATATTCCAATAGCGAGGTTAATATAGAGTCGATTCTGGGAACTAATAAAAAAAAAGGGTAGAGCTTTCGGTGTTGACCAATCCATGGGGGTACGCAGTGAATTCGACTTCATTAAACATCGTTGGAGGTGATGCAATACATATCCGGCCTTTACAATGATTCGTGGTGGCTACCGATGTATCGAGCCAGTGCTGCTTTCCTTCCAGACAAGCCTGGTACCAACCTGCCTACACCTCTGGAGGGACTGAAGGCTTGGTGAGTGTACGGCGCCAAGATCGATCCCCAGTGTATTGCAAGGCGCCTTCAAAATACTGCGCCACACGTGCCTATACTAACGAACAACGAATAATGAAAATATTATACAAACATTACAAAATGTCATGAATGGTGGTGTGATGATAACCAATAGCATATTCTCATGGCGATTCGAATTCATATGAAGATGAGACTGAAAACATAGAAAAATATCCATATTAAACGGATATTATGGCCTTCACCACAGACTTACACAGTATGGCAAACAAGATATCAGTTCGATAAGAAAAAGGAACACTTGGAATGACACATATTACATCGATGATCGAACGCATGATATGACAGCTCATCGATGCGGCAGAAGTCATCGGCAACACAATCGATTCCATCACCATTCGTCTTTCCGACGTCCACAATGTCAGATTCTATTTTTCTAACAAAATTCGTTTAATTAAAGGCGACTCAATAGAGCTACCAGACAGAAAGTCTGAACGCAATCGATTACTGCGATAGAAAGGCATAAAAACAGCCGAATATAGAACAGAGCAGTTTATTTTGTGGACGAAGGCGGAGTAGCCCTCTTTACGTCACACTTATAGAAATGCTGATAAGACAATAAAATGTCGTTTTCGTCGTGAACGGAAACGATGTTTTCAGGAAAACCTTATTCATCACGGGTTGACGTCTCGGCAACTTCGTCTTCTTTAGAGCCGTTTTGTTCTTTATAAGTTTTCTGGTCATAGATGAGTGCCAGCCGCACAAAGTCTTACATAGATGAGAAATTGGTGAGACATCCGCATCTTATCGAGAACAAAACGTTAATTTATTAATCAATGCTCAACTTAATAGAAAGCCATTCCACTACTGATGGAGCAGAAACCTATGGTCATTCTCACGATGCGCGAACAAGAGCAGACCAGTACCTTCGGTGAGTAGAATGACCCAACACTATTGTCATGTTATCAAAAAGCGTTGCCATGTTAGTACCATATTGATTGACAAGTGTCTACAATGGTAGAACCAATTCCAATAATTGGATTAATAATTGGATGAAGTTCAAAGCACATGTTTACTACGAAAATTTCCTGTGCTTTGAATAATCCTCCAATCGTTAAGAAAACAGCATGCGATTGACAGTGATGTCAAAGAACGAGGACTTACCTGAGTCGTATAGTTCAGATGTCACTCCTACAGAACGAAGAACTACTACCTTACGAACAATGAACTTATACAGAATGGAGTTCCAGTGTGGAACAAGAAACCAAGCTATATGTTAAGTGAAGGAACACTGATCATCAAGACACTTATTGTCAACAAGAGGCAGCACAATTCGCAGATAACGCGCGACAAAGAAAAAAGTGAATGATTCGATCGCGAAACGAAAAAAAAAATCATAGGGCCAAAAAGCGAGCACGGTTTTGATTGAAAACAATGCGAAGAAAAAAACTCAGCGAAACGAAAAAAAAGTTGCACGGTCATTTCCTATATTCCTATTTCGGGCATCTTGGATTAATTCGCTGGTCAAAACGAAAATATAAAAGGATAAAAAGAATAAATTTCTCAGCGTTGATCAATCCCTGAGGAATACGCCATACTTTCAACTTCATTAAGCATTGTTTGCAGGTGGCTGAATGCATATATGGACTTTACAATGACTCACGGTGTCTTACCGATGTATCGAGGCAGTGTTGCTGTCCCCCCAGAAAAGTTTGGTACCAATTTGCTGAGTCCAGAGGGATGGAAAGCTACTTAAGGCATGAGAGCGGAGGATCAATTCCACGTGTGTTGCAGGGGCGGTATATACAAAAACTTTATATATATACATACATGTGTATATACTTATACGAAGTGGAGAACCTAAATGATGAGTGCTTTAGAACGTACCTACTTCCTTAATGAAATTCCGTTTCTGCAGTCCCATCCAGAGAAAACTAGAACCTTATCGTTGCGAAGGAATAAATCTTGCAACTTACCGATAAATATACGTAAGCCGAGTAATTTTTTACCTACCTACTTACTTGGATAGACCATCCTCACTGATTGTGCGGACCCCAGTTTAATCTACACCTTTTTGGAGTTTTGCTCGTTTAGCCATTGTGGTTCCCTGGAGTTCGCAGGTCAGCCAGGCCTAAGTCTGCCCCAGGTGGTCACCACCACAGGCAGTCGCCTACCTTGTGGATCACAGGCAGATTTGGCATTCTGTGACTAGTTTGCTATCACCACGGTACTGGATCCTCGTATTGGTTCACTCTTACTTGGTCTTCCTGATGGAAACAACGGACTCAGCATGGGAGACTGCCGTGGTATGAATCCCCTACTGTGCATCGCAGCCCGACACCCAGCAACACCTCCCGGCCACAACAAGGCGGTAAATCGCTAAGAGGGTACTTTTTCCCTTCATCCACGTTGATTACGAAGTGATGCGCTTACCTCGCTTTTGTATATTACGCCTGATGGGCATCGTTATCATTACAAAAATGCGGGGAACAATCTCGTCTCCCAACAAACATAGCTCATTATTAACATTACTAACTGAAGTAAAAACTATTAAAATTTAGAGAACTTTACCCACAAGATATTTCTAAGTTTCCTTATTCTACAATGATGAAACTCTTGATTTCTCGGAGTTCATACAGCGTTCTCTATGCCCCTATTCCGAGCACTACATTGATTAAACAGCTGCGATTTTATTTGAAAGGACATGATGGTGTCGACAACGTATTGTTGATTGCGGCAGCTACGCATACATTGAACGTTTTGAAAATCCAAAACTCGTTTGCAATTTCACGAAAATTCGTATTTTTTTCTTTGAAAATTGAAAACAAATTGAAAACTAGAAAACACTCCAGGAATCCTGTTTATACCAATCATCGTCGATAAGGCAAATCCTCAAATCCATCATATTCCTAAACCACCAAGTACCGTAGCTTACAAAAATTATGCGTAGTTATCGAACTACCGTAGGTTAAGGGCTTAGGCTACCTTTGGTCACTTATGAGTCGCATATAACTTGGTATGTTCACAGTGTCCCGAGAACCAATGTATAAAACAATAGCTGAGAGCAAAACAAATGATCACTAGCAGAATAGTCTTGGAGGCCACTTGTAAAAAAACAGTTATGTCGATGAAGAGATTTCTATCAATAAAATGAAAGCTACATAGATGTAAACAGATACAAAAGAGTTCCAGAGAAAAATCTCGCTCGTAGTTTTGTTTCTACACCTCCACTATGAATACGTCTAGGCAGAAAAGTTAGGGATAACCTTTTTAAATCGGTAAATCTATTCTTGGAAAAAACAGTGATCGGCAAGAATCGCACATCATGTGCTGAAAACTCAAACATCGTTTTGGATCTAGGATTCGCCTAAACTCATCCCAGTAGAGAGCTTAAGTATAACAACAATAACTGAAATCCATTAAAAGCATATTATTGAATTTCTGCATACTAAAATGAAATTCCTTTACATAGGAAGAGCAAAATTCCTTCACATAGGAAAAACAAAGTTTTAGTCAGCAGACAAAAGAAAACAACCTGCGCATCTGCAGTTCTCACACTTCGCATCAGCTTTCTGTTGGCGAGGCCCTGTCACTACAAATATAGATAACAAGAAAATGATAACAGAACATTCATGGCGATAATACCGAACAGAAGTGTTGTGTGGTACCGTACTTCATACTGAACAAAATAATATCATATTTGACCCATGTATAGGAATATAAAAGGACTACTATAGTCAACTGCATAACAGCATAGTGCGAAGCGAACTGTGAAAAAACCAGTTTGTTCTCAAGGAAAGTACTCTTTGTTTAAGCAATTCTACTCCAGCTGAATACTTGGAGCTTGAATAGCCCGGCCTTCTTATGAATGCATGTGTCAACACATTCTCCAACATGACTTATGATCTGGTAAACTTTGCCACCATTTCCTAAAAAAAGCCCATTTCATGGTGTTTCTCGTTCACTGCCCATTACAGACAATCGTCAGCTCCCATGTCTCGAACCGAAGTTTCTCGACATTCTACAAGGCTTCATCTAAGCCCTACGGCGATTCCTGTCACTACTTCAGTCTTAGTTGTGCTTCTGCCTAGAAACGTCAAACTA